TTAATATAATCTTAAAATCATTTAATTATATAATTATTAATATAAATATTATAAAGTTTATTATTCTCCCATTCCTCTGTTGTTTTTTTCTTCTTCTTCTTCTTCTTCTTTTTTTACCTTTGGGTTTGTGCGAACCCAGGTTCGTCACGGAACCTAGCTCCTGGGTTTGTCTCGAACCCAGGCGCTGGGTTCCATGACGAACCCCGTGCTCGAACCCGGGAGCTAGGTTCCATGACGAACCCTGTGCTTGGGTTCGTCTCGAAACCTAGGGGAGGGCTTTGCGACAAACCCGCACCTGGTTCATCTCAAAACCCAGGCACTGGGTTCGTCTCGGAACCCAAGCGTGGGGTTCGCGGTGAACCCAACTCCTGGGTTCATCTCCGAACGAAAGATGAGGGGATTTTCGGTTTAGGGGGAAAGAAAATGAGGAAGAATATGGTAAGTATTTTTGATTTGTTTCTTTGATTGGATATTTTTGGTTTTTTTCTCTAATTGGATGAGGAAGAAGAAACAACTATGCCTAGGCTGGTCGGTGTGATGTTATAAATTTGTAATATCCCAAAATTTCTAGAGAATATTAAAGTTGAGTGGGGGACTAATTTGTGAGGAAATATTATTAATGGCCTTAATAATAGCAAACTCCAAAGTTGAGGGACTTAAAAGAAAGGAAATGAGATAAGGATCAACTGCTTTTTCTTTTCCTTTTTTCTTTCTTTCTTTTCTTCCTCATCAGCCGCGTGTTTCTGCTTCTCTTCTTCTTCCCCCGACAAGCCCCCCCAAGCTGCCGATAGTTCCCCTTGAGAAACTCGGCAAAAGCTTGAAATATCTCCTTTTTTCTTGTTCAACCACAAGATTTGGGGCTTAGAATTCTCTCTCTCAACCCAGAAAAAAATCCCAGATCTGCTCTATTCTTCCCCTGTCCGCGAGCTGTTTCCATTGGGTGCGATTTCTGGGCTTTTTCGGGTAAGCCACAGCCATGAAATTCATCTTTTCTCCCTTAATTTGGCTTGGGCTACTCTAATTTTGTTGTGGGTTCTTGAATTTGGTAGTTGCCGTGAATTCCTCCATTTCTTTTCCCCGTCGGCTTCCTTCCCAGCCGGACCCGGTGCTGCTTGCCGGAATTTTCTGGTATGGTGACGACTTCTCTAAGTCCAATTTCACCCATTTAGCTGCTGTTTAAATTTCCTTGTATTGTCCGAAATTTGCTGAAAAATGGGGATGAACTCCGGTAGCAATTAGAGCATAATTAAGCTTAATTAAGGTAGAGAAATTAGCTTGATTTGCTGCTGTGAATTTTTTGGAGAGAAAATCCCATGTGTGTGAGTTGTGGTTTGCCAAAGCCATGCTCTCCATGTGCTGCCCGTGAGAAATGGGGAAATTTTGGTAGCTTAAGCTATGTTTTTAAGCTTGGTTTAAGTGTAAATTAGCTTGAATTGGATTGTTGTGATTTTGGAGAAAAATCCTGTGAGATTTATTATGGTTTTGCCAATTTTTGGAAGTTGCAGTTACTGTTTACGGGTACTGTTCACAGGCACTGTTCATGGTCACTGTTCACGCATTGATGGCCAACAATTAAGGGAGATTAAATGTTTAGTTTGTAATATAAGAACAAATTTGGAGACTGATAGAAATAACATCTTGATTAGGGGGTGATCCTAATGATGTTTTCATTGTGAATTTGTGGTAGCACGGTATTAATTCTGGGGCATTTTGATTAGGTTCTTAAGTGTTCTATCACCCGAGCACTTGGCTTGAGTTCCCGGTATTACAGATTTGAGGTAAGTAAATTATGGTAAAACCCTTCGATTTCAAAGCATGTTTTAAATTGTTTTTGAGATGGTGGCAAGGTTTAAATTGATTTTATCAGCATCTGAGTGTGATTAAACTGAAATGAAAATTGTGATGATTTTTATGAAAATTATTATTTTTTGGAATTGAGCAGGATTGGACTGAAAATGAGAATTTCATTGTTTTTCTGGAATTGAGCATGCCCACATGAAATTGTCTTCATTTGCATTGAATGGAGCATGCCTATTTAGAATTGACTGAACTGCTTTGATGAACTGAGAATTTTGTAAGTTTTGAGTTTTTTGTTAAATCCATGCTCACATGGAAATTTTTTGGTTTATTTTGAAATTTGATATTGATTGTGAATTATGGATTTTTTTGTAAATCTTGCATGGTTTTGTCTCTGATATACTCATGATTACTGATGCCCGCCAATGAGAGTCTGTAAATGCTGGCACATGTCGACATGTTTATTGATATGACTGGTTCATTCTGTAATCCTGTCAATGGGATAATACATTGGTAATTACTGACGCCTACCAGTGGGAGTTTGTTAAACACTGGTACCATTACTGACGCCTGCCAGTGGGAGTTTGTTAAACATTGGTACTTCTGTAACCCTGCCAATGGGGTTAAACATTGGTTATTACTGATGCTTGTCAATGGGAGTTGTTAAACACTAGTACCACTACTGACGCCTGCCAGTGGAAGTTTGTTAAACACTGGCCATGACTTATAGATGAGACTACTACTGAATTTTCTTCTGCATTAACGGTTTGTCATTGAATGCTTTGTTATTGAACTGGATTTGATTCTGCATTAACGATTTATCATTGAACGTTTTGTTATGTTGAACTGTTTGTCAAGCATGCTATAAAATTTTACCCAAGGACTATCTATTTTTACTTACTGAGATATTTTATCTCATAGTTTTTCCTTGTCCACCATTTCAAGAAGCGAAACTGAGGACAGGGAAATCAAGGGAAGTGATGAGGTAGAAGGCTAGTCATTCTTATTGGATATAAGTTTTAGATTTTATCATCCTTTTGTAAGGTAGATTTTATTCTTGAGATGTTGTGATTTGAATAAGTTCCGAGCCTTGTGCACTTGTGGGACCCGTCTCACGAGTGCACGGCGTCTGTCGTGTCCCCGGATTTAGGTTTTGGGGCGTGACAAAATTGGTCCTTTATATACTAGTTTTTTCATAAATAAAAGGAAGTGTAAGGATAAAATGGAAAGACCATGTCAATTTCGTTAAACATGGAACGAGAAGCTCCCGCGAAAGTAAGAAATTGAAGCTTCCGAGCTTTGCAAAGGAATGGTGAGAAGCTGATCTTCTCATAAGCTGAGCTTCTCAAAAGCTGCAGCAAGTTTGGGAAACTGACCCATTTGGCGCAGCTTGTGCTTTTAGAACCAAAAAGCTCTTCTCACAATATGCACCAAAGAGGTTCTTAGTTCAAGTTCTATTCATTTAAGTTATTAACAATGCCAAGGTTTGTAGTCATTTTTTTCAGGTGTATAAGAAAACAAAACTTTCACGATCTATAAAATTTATTAAAGATAAATAATTCACAAAGCTTTCATGAAGAAATTTAATATTAATAACATCCAACACTTCTAACATAGAAAATAATAATGGGCAAGTAGAAAAAGCAACCGTACACTGATTGCCAAGCAGCAAACAAAACTAAACACAAATAAAGAATTTTGCTTTAAGATAAACATCTTACTAAAAACCAAAAGGATTGTGATTTAGCCAAAAACGCATCAACCAAGGTAGCACATAACCTATTCAATATGAGAAAAGAAGATATTCGGATTCAACAACAATCTAAAAAAAAAAATCAAATCTGAATGTAATTATATAAAGCAACAATTTTTTTTTTTTTTAGATAGCATGGCATCGCATGATACGAAACTTAAAATTCATAGCATTATAAAGTACGCAAATAGAAACTCTAAAAAAAAAAAAAAAATCCATCGCATCAACAAATCTAGCACCACAAGACCACTACTAATATAGTTAAAGCAACAGATTATACATAATACACTACACTCATGATTCAATATTGGTGTGTAATTTATTTATTATGATAATAAATAACATTAAATACCCATACTTAGTCAAAAATCAACTAGTAAACATACTTATAAGCCCAACCTCTCCCTTCTTTAGCATCGCCAGTCGCTACAAAGCAAGCAAAAATTAAAGTAATGAGTGAAAATAGGTTAAAATGGTTTTTCCACCCAATAATAAATAGATTAAAAATAAGCTAAAACAAACACAAATGTAAGAAAATAATAACAAGGAATACTCAAAATATCATCAAGATATCATCGAGGTTTTCATTGTTTGAAAGCAAAAGAAAAGAAAGGAGCAAATCAATGGTTAATTAAAATTTTACACATAGTAATTATGCTAAAATAAAGGTCAATTATTATATTTTTATATAAATTAATTATAAAATTATGCCTTTATTACACATTTAACTTATGCTCTTACAATACAATTTAGATAAACCTTTAAACATAAATTATTATAATAAAAATAAAATTAAATATTAGTATTTAATATTTTATGAAAATAAGAAATTGAACAACTAAATAAAACACCTAAATTTTAGTAAAACAACTAAATTGCAATAAGAGAGAGTTAACTAATAACTGATTCCCAAGAAGTCATAAGAAAATTTTAAAAATATTTTATAATTTAAATTATATTAAATTATAAAATATAAATTATTGAATAAGATTTGAACCTAATATTAAGGCTCTTTTTTATTGAAAAATTCTTATTTTATAGTTCGACACTAATTAAAGTACAAAATAATGATTTAAGAAAAATATTGTAAATAAATTAAGGACAAATAAGTCATAAGAAAACTTAAAAAATATTTTATAATTTAAATTATATTAAATTATAAAATAGAAATTATTGAATAGGATTTAAACCTAATATTAGAGTTATTTTTTACCGAAAGATACTTATTTTAAAATTTGATAGTAAATAAAGTAGAAAACAATAAAATTTAAGAAAATATTATAAATAAATTAAGGACAAAAAAAGTCATAAAAAAATTTTTAAAATATTTTATAATTTAAATTATATTAAATTATAAAATATAAATTATTAAATAAAATATAAAAGTATGAAATATTAGTACATTTTGACGTACAAAACATTCATCATAATCCTTAGTTTCCTGGACCTCAATTAAAAAGTCCCTTATTTGACGATTATTATTATTATTTTTAAACAATGTTACAAAAGATTGAATTTAAATTATTATCCAAAAAAACAGAGATATATTTAAACGTTACTTGAGACCACTCACTCGAAGACCGAAGACCCTAGTGAACTTATTTGACACGATTATGATGAGTCAGGACATACTAATTTTCATATTTTTCATAAAATATAAACCTAATATTAATATTAATGCTCTCTTCACTGAAAGTTCTTATTTTAGAGTTTGGTGGTGACTGAAGACTGAAGTACAAAACAATGAAATTTTCTTAGAAATTCCTCTAAATAAATTAAGGACCAAGTCCAGTTTGATCTCGGGATACTACTTCTTGACGCGTAAAACCTTTTGTCCCATCCTATAAGAATGTGAGGACTGGAGGACACTAAAAATTTCTTTATCCTGCGCTTCACGGAAGAAAGGAGGGTGTTTCTGTCCCGACACTTTCGGAACTTGGAACTCGGAACTCGGAACCAACCACCGCTCCCCTCGCTTCTCCGCCTCCCTCCGGCCACCTTTTCTGACAAAAGCACCGTGGGAGGGGAGAGTAGAGATTCTTCTTCGATTCTTTCGTCACTCCTCTGCTTCGTTTATACCTACTCCATTTTCCCTGTAATATTAGCAGTATAAGAGAGAAGCAGAGGCGAAGCACAGGAAGGTTGGCGCTCATCCTCCATACTACGTGTAGAGTGATGATGGCCAGGTACGAACCCATTAAGGAATGTTCCGATGAAAAAGAGGACGCCGGAATGGCAGATCGTGAAGGAATCCGGCGGGATGATGTTGATGTTGAAGCTGCATCGGCTATCCGGATCTCTGAACCAACATCCACAATCGTCGCTTGTGATCCAAGTGAAGAAGACCCTTCACCGGTTCCTCCTGACAAGAGTCAACCCAGGCAACGTCTTGCTTCCCTCGACGTCTTCCGCGGCCTCACCGTTGTGGTAACCGTTTCCCTTCATTTTACTCTCTCTCCTTTGACAATCGGTTACAACTTTGAAATCTTCTAAATCTTCCATTTCTGGATACTCTGTTTATTTTCATTTTCTGAATGCAACTTCCATTGTTGGCGTCAATGGGATCGAAATTGTGTTTATTTTCATATTCTGAATCATGGGAATTAATTAGGGTGTCCTGTGATCACGACCGTCTGAAGGAGGAGGGCCCAATATCAGGGGCCCTCCCCCTTTGATGGTCTTACAGTCTGTCCAGACTGTTTTTGGAGGTAATTATTTAGAAGAGCAATGCTAGGGGCACTTGCTTTTCGCACTCTCCGGCCGACACTTCCCCTTTCATTGGGCCACGTAAGCTTCTTTGAAGCTTTCAGCGCAACTTCTCGAGAACCAAGATAACGTGGCCCAATAAAAGAGAAAGTGGTGACCGGAGAGTGCGAAAAGCGAGTGCCCCTAGGATTGCTCTATTTAGAAAAGTATTTCTCAGTATGGACTGCATTTTTTGTGCAGTCCGGGCCCTGAAATTACCAAAACATCCTCAGTCAAACCGCCTTCCATGCTATTCATTAATAGTGTTTTAGTAATTTCAGTGCTTAGCCTGCAAAAAAAAGTACAGTCCGTACTAAAAGAACACCTTCTCCTCCTTAGATATATGATTTTTCACATTTCTGTTTAAAGTTACAGAATGCATCTTTGTTTTTAGGAAGCTATTTCTGAATATATAAGAAGAAATAATAATAATAATAATAGTAATTAATAGAAGGAAAAATATTAATTCACTCATACCATTTCTTATAAATATTAATGATATAGGAGGAAATTTAATCTATAATATAGGGGGAAAGCAATGTGGAAAGTGTTGATTTGTGATTTACCAAATTTAATTTATGTATAATCTGAAAGAGGGAGAAATCTATTTTTGGCAACCAAACTTGTGTCTGTTTCTCAATAAACTGAAAATTTTCAATTTAATGGTTAGTTAGAACCTTTTTTGTTTTATTTTTTTCATATTGGTGATTACCAATTTAAACATAAACTTAACATCTCAAATTTTAAAGTCTATCAATTTAAACTTTTAGTTCTTTTTTTTTTTTAATTTATTTTTTCATATTAACGAGTGGCAATGGCATCTTTTGTTGCCAAAGTTCTTCTTTATCCTTTAATAATAAAGTTTAATATTCTTTATATCAAGAATCTGAAACAGGGGTAAAAGAGCAAAAATTTAAATGTCTTAATCTTGAACCGTCAAAGGTATAGTGATTTTGGAATATTTAAAAAAGAATATATGTTTTTGTGCACGTGTCGGAATTTTCAAGATTTTATTTGCTTTGCATCTAAACTTTAATGAGATTCATTAAAGAATTTTCTTGAGAAGCATATGTAATGGAAGTATACAACCAACCATAAAATTCCCAGATGGTCAACTCTGGCTTGGAATGATGGAACTGATGGAGGTTTTCAACGAAGGGAATCCTTGCTGTTGATAAGCAAAGAGTGGTTATGTTGACACTCAAAAGTGCCTAGTTTTGCCAATTGAATTCATTAGAGAAACTTAAGAAAAATGCAATGGACTTTCTAATGTGTACCTGCACTAATCATAAAAGAAAAATGTATACCTGAACTATTAGAGGGTGCTAAAATAGCCTCTTGGGTATTTGAGCAGTTTTTCTTTAGAATACAATGATTTCATGTTCAGTTTAGCATTGGGATTTATCTAGATAATCATCTTATATATATAAAAGGATATCATTAGTTTATTCTTTTTTCTAAAACTTCAGTTAGACATTTCATTTTTGGTGCAGCTGATGATACTTGTGGATGATGTTGGTGGACTTCTGCCGGCTATCAACCATTCACCATGGGACGGTTTAACCCTTGCAGATTATGTTATGCCATTTTTTCTCTTCATTGTGGGTCTTTCACTAGCATTAACATACAAGGTATTGTTTTTATGCAAAATTTAGTAGATTTCACTTGTTAGAAAAAGCTAACTGTGGTAATACTTTTACCTTTACTTCTTAAGACTTTAACTTGGACAGAACCCAGGCCATAGCCAGGTGGTTATCCAGCTTTTACCTTTTGCAGACATCCATGGAAATAAAAAATGAAAAGAATTAACAAAACTTTTTTCTGCACAGAAATTGTCATGTAGAGCCTCTGCCACTAGAAAAGCATTACTTCGGACATTGAAGCTTTTGGTGTTGGGCCTTTTTCTGCAAGGTTTGGCTTTTGATATTGTGTGTGTGTGTGTGTGTGTGAGGCAATCTATATGACTATGCCATAGCTCCTGCAAATTTGCGTTCTGGTCACCCATAAATAGAGGTTTTGCCACTGTTTAATTAATCGATGATCTAAAAAAAAAAAAAAAAATTTGAATCTCATGGAAGTTTTGCAAATGGTTTAATAATTTTCTTATAATTTCTGCCCACGTTCCAGGAGGCTTTTTTCATGGGGTCAACAATTTAACATTTGGTGTGGATATTGAAAAAATAAGATGGATGGGTATACTTCAGGTATGCTTTCCTGCTAGCCCCTCGTTGTTTATGATTGCAAGTAGCTTTGATAAACAAGTTATTTTAAGGTGGCTATTATTTTGTTCCAGTGTAGATTAGTTAAAAGGTTTATACTATTCTGTGCTTAGATGTGTATTTAATATGATTAGGGTTCAACTTCTTAGTTTTATTAAAGGAGCAAATGCGTTCGTTAGCAAATGGATATAACTTTAATTGCCGAGATCTACTCTGTTAATTTTTAATGGATTTTTTTTTTCTTTCCCCCAGAGAATTGCAATGGCATATTTAGTTGTGGCTGTGTGTGAGATTTGGCTGAAAGGTGATGATCATGTGACATCAGAATTATCTATGTTCAGGAAATTTCGATTTCAATGGTAAATGTTGTCCCTTCTTGGCCTAAAATTGCAAGTATTTTTGATGATGTGATGCATACCTTTCATGGTTGATGTATTCAAGCCATCTTATTTATCAATAGAAATATATATTTCATTGAATTCTATCTGCTTCGCTCAAGTAATGTTCTCTACTCTGAATTGGAATGACCTAACCATAATTGCACCATATCAGTAATCTAACTTGTCAAATTATCATTAAGAATTGACTTGTTGAGAAATGGGCTTCTTCTTCTCCTCTTTGTTTTCTTTGTGTGTTGGGGTTGGGGTTGAGTTTTGGGGGTGTCTTCTTGACAAGTAATTGTGCCATTTTGTAGTATTCAGTTGACATGTTAGTCCAGTTTTTGTCATTCGTATGTAGGAATGCATATTTGGTTGATTATATCCATCATAACAAATTTATATCTGAAGATATTTTTGCTTGAAATTGTTTAATTTTGGATGTAACTCCGTTATCTATCCCTCTCTCTCTCAGGGCTGTTGTTTTGGTGCTTGTTATTCTATATATTTCCTTGTTATATGGCTTGTATGTTCCTGATTGGGAATATCAGATTCCAGTTGTGGCATCTTCTTCAGAACTGAAGATATTTTCAGTAAGTTCCCTTCCCTTTGCAAATTCCTTTGTTATACAGGAGCAGGATATGATTAAAGAAACAGTGAACTAAAGTGGCCTGTTATGTTCTATTTTCATCCAAAGGTTAAATGTGGAGTACCAGGCAACACTGGACCAGGTTGTAATGCTGTTGGAATGATTGATCGTAAATTACTTGGAATTCATCATTTGTATAGAAAACCAAGCTATGCACGAACAAAAGTAAGTCTTTGAAGAGTTTGGTTATAGTTTGCTGTGTTTCGTTTCGGTCTTCCCACCTATATTTTCCTTTTAATATAGGAATGTAGCATCAACTCGCCAGAGTCTGGTCCATTGCCTTCTGATGCACCTCCATGGTGTCAAGCCCCATTTGATCCTGAAGGGCTCTTGAGGTTCGTTGATAATTTTTCTCAAGTCCACAGATTGTCATAACCAATAATTGCAAAATGCAATCATTGGGTACCAGTAGATGGTTTGTTAAGTGATACAGTAATGGATTTCAAAGATGAGATGGGCTTTAGTTCCATGTTTTGAAATTGACCTTGTACTTTTGTTGTTATAGTTCTGTGATGGCCATTGTTACCTGCATGGTTGGATTGCACTATGGGCATATCATTGTCCATTTTCAGGTGACAATTTCTGCATAAAAAGTTTTTTTCTTTTTTCTTTCTCTTTTTTGTACTGGAAATTATCTTGTTTTAGTATTTTATTGCTGTCATATGTAGGAGCACAGAGACCGAATCCGTCAATGGATTATCCCATCCTTCTGTCTTCTGTTCCTGGGCCTCAGCTTGGACTTCTTTGGTAAGTTTTCATTTTCTTTCCCTTATACATGAGAATTTTGGTACTGGTTGTAGAAATAGCACTTGTACTAGGTTCATCATCACCTTTCTTTTGTAGGAATGCATGTGAACAAGGATCTTTATACATTCAGTTACATGTGTGTCACTGCTGGTGCGGGTGGCATACTTTTCACTGGAATTTATGTGCTGGTAAGATATCTTGGTTTTCTTAGGCTAATCTTTTAAGAATCATTCAATTTCATTTATTTTGCAGTTTCTTCTATGGATATATTTAATTCAAATATCTGTGACATGCTTGATTTTTTGTTCGACTGTCATGGTCGAAGAACAGATGCTGTTTGGTTGACTTGTTTACAAACTTCTAATTATTAAGGCCATTTCGGCATTTTTGGCAGGTTGATGTGTATGGATATAGATGGACAACTATGGTCTTTGAGTGGATAGGGATGCATGCATTGATGATATTTATTCTTCTAGCCTGCAATATCCTGCCAATTCTTATACAGGGATTCTATTGGAAGCAACCGCAAAATAATATTGTAAGTTGCATGATACGTAGTTAGAAATTATTTGCTCAATTGAGTTTCTCTTGCCTAGTGATAAACAAGTTGATATGGCGCGTATGAGAAATTAACATTGCAAGTTTATTAATTGAGCATTTGGTGAAAAAGAAAAAAAGAATCGGAGAAAAATGAGTGCGGTAGGCTGTAGAGCTAGGTATTATTATTATTTTTTTTTTAGTGTTTTGGAATAATTTTGGCATTTTTAGCGCTTAAAAGAAAAGAGAAGGAAAAGAAAAATGCCTGGAGTCCCTAGGTGTGGTCCAACACCCACCATCACCTAACGTTTTTTGCAACATTGATAAGTAAAGGTTACACTAGTGTAACTTAATAATCCCTCAAAATTTGAGTAATTTGTCCATTGTGGATTAATATGAAATTCTTTTAAGTTTTGCATAACAGCAGAGACGTCATGGTCTTCTTTTCTTTCTCTGCAGCTGAGCTTGATGGGGGTTTGAACATGGACTGGCGTGTTGATTTCAATGACTAAATCCTAGAAGAGGGTGGGGATGATAGTGCTGAATTGTAGTCCATTATTATATGCCTCTGTTGAATCGAGCGCTGTCTCCCTCCAACTTTGGATATTTTGTATTAACATATGTTGTAAAATTTAGAAATGAAAACACAGTTCATTCTTCTCATTCGTAGGTCAGAAAGTAATGTTCAATCGGTAAGTTTTTTGTCACATGATTGGCATTTATGCATGAATTTCGCCAAAACTTGAGACTCTGAAGCTTTGAAATGAGTAAAAAAAAAAATGCATGAAAAAACCAAATTTACCACATAAGGGTACATTAGCGTTAAGTCCTGACGAAAGGATCTCAAACGAACAATTCGAAAGCAGAGGCCAAGCGTTGTGGAAGTAGGTATAAATGGATTGGACGCCTTTCATTTTCAGGTTTTCTTGCAGTATCTAAACTTCTTATGTATCTCCTCTAGGCTGCTTTCCGGTCAAGTGTAACGTCCTAATAGAGCGAGTTGAACAATTTTGCGTCAGCTTTGTTGCATCACTCGCTTCCTATGGCATTCTGGATTATCCCTCTGGAATGCAACAAGGCAACATCTCCAGTTTTGTTAATGATGTTCATATAAAAGATGGAGGATGTTACCTTTTCTTTTGGAGAACACTTAGTAAGAGATAAATCTCGTCTCTTTATCCAGTCAATTCACATATCATATAATTTAAATTTAAGATCTTTTACTCCTATTAGGAGAGAGTACCAGTGGCTGCTTAAGTCTCTGTCAAAACATGAGAACGTTCAAATGCTATTTAATTCGAAAACTCTAGTTCCTATGAATCATCCACAATAAACTGCAAATCTTAAGGGTTGAAGGAAGCTTGATTAATCTACAAAGCCAAGGTAGTTCTTGGGGTAAACACTTAAAGCCTAACCCAGCAGTATGCTAAGGAGTGAGGAAACTTGTGTTGGAGTAAAGGCATACATATGAGGTGGATTTAGAAGAAGTGCCAAGAATCCAACACGAAGGAAAAACAAAATAACAGAGTAGAATATATATGGGTCTAAGATAATATCTCCTCATATGTTGTTTTTTTTTTAAATCCCGTTTTTTTTTTTTTTTTTGGCTGCTACGTGATAGAAGTGCCCAGGTGTGCTATTTCCTTTATAACAAATGCCAAAAATAGTTTTCTTAATTATCCTCTTTTTCTAAACAGTCAATCTTTGAGTTAGATAGCACCTTAAATTAGATGATTAGAAGGAAGAAGAGATACTCTTTGTACAAATAAACTAGAAATAATGGCGTTTCCTAAAAAATCCTCTAATGACCTTGCACGTGCGAAATTTGGATGTCAGTGTGCCACTTATTTTGTTGAAAGTAAGAAAGAAGGATTTCCCAACGACCATGTTTAGACCTAAAAATAAACCAATGAGATGAGGCAATGTGTCTAGTTGAAGTCCAATTATCAAAGAAAGTCAGCAGGTTGGATTTAGGCTGAGCCAACTTAGGGTTTTATGGCCCAAATGAAATTTAAAAGGAGTTGGATTTGTATGGCAGTTGATAAGGTAACCTTTGGTAGTTGAATGTGATTTGAATTGAGAAGTTGAGGGTTTTTAGGAGGTGGTTATTCCTCGAGTTTTATTAGAGTTAGAATTGACACAAAATTGTCAATTGCCAGACAACTGTCCAGATGTGGAGACCCCACTACTCGGTCATGGTGGGAGAGGGCTGAAAAACATGGAGTAGGTTTCCCAACACTAGAGAAAAGGAAAACAAGAGGAAAAATTAGAATAGATGACCTGCCCTACAAAAACTGCCCAATGCATATGTTTTTTCAACTTTCAAACTATTTCTTCCAAATTTTAGCATAATTTCTAGATTAGGTGATTAGGTTGCAAGATTTGTTCTTGTTCATAGCTTTAGTTTAGATTTTTCCATCCTTGTTCATATTTTCCCTTGAAGATTACAACTTTGATTAACTTTTAAGGATTTGAAAGCAATCCAGCCTTATAAACAGGTCTGTCATGTTGATTTAGTTAGTTTGTCTCTCTCTTATGAATTCATCTTTGTTATTTGTTTATGTAAATAGGTTGAATGCTTTCTGCCTTTTTTCCTTTGTTTCTACGCAACTGTCAGACTTGCAGTTCATCTGATTTCAATTTCTTGATTAGTATTTAATTTTACAAGTTTCCAAACTTTGATTGTTTCGTAGATTCTCCTTTACTTTCAGTTGTCAAGTAGTTCAATTATTTTTATTTTAAATTTGTGAGTAATTAGTTTAATTGTTATGGATTATGAAGTTAAAATTAGTGTTTGTAATCCTACATAGTTTGTTGTCTGTGAGCTTATTTTTGTGGCATGTTATTCTCTTTTATTTATTTCATGTTAAATTAATTTCCTAAGGATATTGCATTTATTTTGCCTAAGGATATTGCATTTATTTTAGGATTTATAGCTTTTATTACACTTTGGTGGTTGTAAAGTCCTCGGAGATGTCCAAGGCAATTAGTAACCTATTTTACAAAACTCCACCCTTTGTTTTGCAACATCATCTGGGGCACAGTGTATTTCACAAATGTTCTTTCCAACCATCCTTTTGGAGGTCGACCATTGGAAAGGAGAAGGGTCATCTAAAAAATCTTGTTTTCTTGTTTTTAAACAAAGTAAGTGCCATGCCTAATACCCAAACTCACGTGTTTAAGGTTAGCTAAGTATTTTTGGGGAAACAAACCCTTTCCTTCCTTATGGTTGACCTCCTTGTGGATGGTGGGAAGAATGTTGGTTTAAAATTAAAATCTATGCCTACAAACGATTTGCAAGAAGGAGGGATGCGTTCTTACAGAATGGGTTACAAAATCTGCCTTGGACAACTCTAAAGACTTCAACACTACTATGAATCAAAGTTATCAAATCCTAATTAAACTAAATAGCATTCAATTTAAAGTAAATTTGTGAAAAGATGCACTCAAATTAAATTAAACATGTTCATTGTTAAATTAAAATGTTATCTGCTGACAGATCTGGAAATTAAACTATTACAGAATTGAAGATTTAACCCTAATTAACACTAAAACAAACATGGATAGGAATTAAACTAATATGCTCAAAATTGAGAAGAAGTGTGAATGCCATATAAGTAATCATTTGAAGAAACACTATTTATCATAAACATTAAACTAATTACAATCAGAAAAGGAACAATACCTTGAAGAAATTCAAAAGCTTGATATTCAATACATGAAATGAAATTGCTGAAACAAGTATTTGAACTAGTTTGACTATTGGAATGATAAAAAACAACTTAGATCTACTGAAAATTGTGCTAAAATCTGAAATGTGTAAGTAATTGTAGAGAAAACGAAAGTCCGAAAATTTGTAGGTTTTGAGTAGGGCTGGCAATGTGTTCTGTAATCCAAAATTTCTCTCTTGTTCTCCTTTTTCTAGCTATAACTTCCCACTTTTTGCAGTTTCAAAAATCATGGGCAATTTCTTAATGTAGTGGGACACCTCAACAATTGACAGGGTTAGACTTCATTCCAAATTTTGTCACCTGTTCTCTTATTTGATAACCCACACCTATAACTAAAATCTCCTCCTAAATTTCAGTTAAAACAGACCCAATTTAACTCAAAAAGGTAATTAGAAGATAAAATCTTATCTTTTTACCTCCTTCCTTCCAATGTGACAATTGATTTGTCATAAGGCCCAGAAGTACATTCTAACATGGCAAAATCTCCTCCATCCATTTAAAAATTTTCACACGTGCCATGATCTTAAATTTTTGCAATTTATGGTGTAAACAATGCCCCCAAACACTTGGTTTTATGAAAATAAATCCAAGTGTTTTAAATTAAATAAATTGCATGCACAACTTCAACCCCCATGCCATAAGCTAGATTTCAACCACTAAAAAATGCACATGTTAAACAACTTCAAAATATGAAAGAGGAGATCTCAAACCTTGATGCCAAGCTTGCAAAACTATGGAAATAGATTCCAAAGGAAGAACAAGCAAAGTAGAACTTGCTGGTGTAGCGCAACCAACTCCTCATAGATTTTGAAAGTAGACCTACAAGCACTTTCCAACATCAAAGCATAGCTCCCTTCTCCATGCTTGTGGCAACTTACCTATTGCATGCTCTGTTCATACTCCGTAGCAGGTCAAAATTTGTCACGACTAGAATATGGCTGTTCTGGTTACTCACAACCAAATTTGGCTTGCTTACATATTCAGCTTAGCACTTTTATTAAACTATAAAGTGCTAAACAAGAAAAGAAAATATTGTACAATTCTTACCCCAATATTTGACTCAAGTAGAATTCATGGTATCTAGGCCTCTAGCCTCCCATATCGTAGGATAGTAAAGCTTAAGATAAATTCCATTTATTTTTCAAGTGTGTAACTCTCCATTCAGTGATTCAAGCCAATATGCTCCCTTTCTAAGCACTTCATGGATACAAAATGGTCCTTCCCAATTGGGAGACCATTTTCCAATTCTAGGATCTTTCTTTCTAGGTGGTAGAATTGCTTTCTAGACCATATCCCCTTTTGCCAAACTTCTGAATTTCACCCGCTTGTTATATGCTCGGGCCGCTTTTAATTTCTACGTTTACAACCTATCTAAGGCCGTCAATCGCATGCCTTCAAGGTCTTCTAATTCTAACATCATTGCATCATTATATTCTCCAAAAGTAAGACCATGTTGAATCATTATATGCAATGATCAGGCAGATAACTCCATAGGTAGAACGACATCATGTCCATAAGTTAAAGAGAATGGAGTTGCCTTAGTAGAATTCCTTTGTGAAGTTCTATAAGCTCAGATTGTGTCAGATAATAACTCATGCTAATGCCTTGGATGATCATCAACCATCTTTTCAAGCAGATTTATCAAAATTTTGTTGGAAGCTTTAGCTTGACCATTAGCTTGAGCATAATGAGGGGTTCAAGTGAGTAAATGAAAGCCCATTCCCCTTGCAAATGCGTCAACTTATGAACTAACAAAAACTATTCCTTGATCTGATGTTACCATTTTTGGTAGACTAAATCTGTGAATGATATCTTCCTTCAGGAATTTAATAATATCGATCTAGTCTACCTTCTTCATTGGTTTTGCTTCCACCCATTTGGTGAAATAATCTGTAGCAACAATAATGAAAAACTGTCCTTTAGTTGAAAGAGGATAAACTTTACTAATCAGATCTATAGCCCATCCTCCAAATGGTCATGGTTTGACAATTGGATGGAGTTCTAATGTTGGAGCTTTCTATAGTAGTCCATGAATCTAGCAGGCTTTGCAACCTTTAGCATAACTGATGCAATCTTTCAAGATTGATGGCCAAAAAAATTCATGTTTGTGAATCAACCAGTGCATCTTAATTCTAGCTTGGTGTGCACCACAAATTCCATTATGCACATCTAACATAATCTAGTAGTACTCATCTAGACTTAAACAGCGCAGAAGTAGTTCATCATGTCCTCTACAATAAAGAACACCTTCCAACATAACATAATTCAAAGCCAGCATTTTCCTCCTTCTTGAGGCTTTAAAACTTGGACTTTTGAGGTATTCCATGATCGAATAACGTCAATCTATCTGGGTCATGTTTATGGAACAAGTAGAAGTCACCATACCACACTTATAAATAGATGACAAAATTTGTTTTTCCACAACAACAATTCTGCTCATCACGCCTTTTAGGATTTTTCAGCTCGAGACAATTTGTGCCATCTCATTTGCTTCAGTGTTTAGATCTCATGTAACATGACTCAAGATTACATCATCGAAGTCCTCCAGAAGTTATACTGCCAGAGCAAAGCAAGGTGCCAAAGAAAGACTTGTGCATTTGTATTAACCTTCTAATTGTTTTAAAATTAATTGTGAATCGCTAATTATTTCTACCACAAGTACCTTGAGTTTTACCAGCACTTCTAGCCCAATAATTAGCGCCTCATATTCAACTTAGTTGTTGGTGCAATTGAAATCTAACTGGAATGACATTTGGGTTTTTAGATTGGCTGGAGAAAGAATAACAATTCCTACTCCAAACATGGAATCTGTGTTGGATCCACCAAAAACAAGCTTCCAAGGAACCAAATTTATGGCAAATAAATTAATACCTTTTTCCTAATCCACTTCCACTTCAAGGCGCGAATGATATGCTAGAAAATCTACCAAGGCTTGCCTCTTGACAGCTTTTTGAAGCATGTACTTCAGGTTGAATTTTGACAAGGGCAGAACCCATTTTCCAATTCTGCCTCTCAACAATGGTCGAGACAACATGTACTTTGTCACATCTGTTTTTGAAATAACATAAACCTCAAAATAAAGCAAATAATGTCTCAATTTTATTACAGCAAAAAATAGAGACATGATTTTTTGACTGAAGAATATTTCAGCTCGATCTATGATAGACTTCAACTTAGATAATAAATAGCTTGCTCTTACTTTTTATTATTTTCTTGAGCCAACAGACAACCTATAGATTCATTTGCGGTAGATATGTACAAAATCAAAAGTTTGCCTCTTAAAGGAGGCATTAAGACCAATGGCTTTAATAAATAATACTTTATTTCCTCAAAGGCGGTCTGGTGGTGCTTCTCCGATTTAAAATCTGCTTTAGATTTTAGCTTCAGCAATGGCGAAAAACTTGTCTTTCCTACTAGGTTTGAAATAAAACGCCTTAGAAAATTCAATTGCCCAAGGAATCTTTATCATTCTTTTTTACTTTTTGGCAACTATGCTTTAACAACAACTCTCTTTCACAGTTTGTTTGTCAAGTGTGATCTGCTGTAGGCAATAATTCCAGAAAGTCTGCCATAACGATCCATTCCAAAGAAACAAATAGTCCCAATATCTTCATCATAATAACGAGCTTCCACTACATTAGTATTTGCCACAAACAGCTTGTGATTTGCTGTCACAACCTCAGTTCTGCCACTGTTCCAAAATATCAATTTGTGGTGTAAAGTTGAAGTAACACACCAGCTAGAATGTATCAAATCTCTCCTAAGTAATGCACTATAAGTGGCAATAGTGTCAACCACAAAGAATGCACACATGAGAGTTCTATTTTCAATAGTGAGCCGTACTGGCAGAATTCTTCTTGAGTGATTTACCCCACCAGTAAAGTCACTGATTGTTACTTTTGTCTCTATTAAATCACCCAAAGATTTGCCAATTTTGTGCAGCATGCAAGTTGGCAAAACGTTGACGGCTGCTCCATTATCAACCAAAACTCGGTTGATCGACATACCATCTAGATGTGCATGAATATATAATGGCATGATATGTTTGGCCATCCTTTCTTATGGCTTTTCAAAAATAATTTTATCTGTCGAATCCACACCTCCATCTTCCTTAGCTGGGATTTCAATGATTTCCCCCTTCGGTCTGATTTTTTTACTAACAAACTGCAAACTCTAATTGTTCTCTAGCTTGAAAGACTAAAAGAAGAGTAATCACCAAACAAGATAGATTCAGGAAAAACTCACCAAAATGAATTATATCTTATGAATTTTCTACTATATTTGACACATTAAACTTCGCCTTTAAACTAGTTTCTTAGTTTGATTCCACAATCATAACTCAAGGCAATGTTTGACTTCTAGGTGGTTCATTCTTTTCTGGAAAAGTCTGATCAGACGTGCATCCTTTTTCTTTAAGAACCCACACTGACTTCCTTTTCATTAGAAGCGGCTAATTCTGATCTACCATGCCCCTCGAGATTGCAATTTGCTATCAACGTCTTTCTGTTGCCCTTTTACGTTGCTGTTGATGACCACTTAAAAAAGGATTAAGTGTGAAAATATTAAAGAAAAGGGGAGTCGCCACTTGTCCAAATTATAAGGTAGGACAAGTCACCTAAAATGAGCCTGCGCAGAGATCGGGGTTCGGGAGTTCGATTAGGAGTGAGGAAGGGCATACGCGCACCTCACAATCTTCCATTTAAACACGGTTGCATACTTTAAAATTAGGGTTTTGATTCAGCTTATTAATTATATTTGTATTTGAGTCTTAAATAGGTAAGTTTGAAAGAAGGATAAGCCAAATTGAAACATTTTTAAAATTTTTGGACTAAAATGGACAAAATCAAAGACAAGCATGCATCCTAAGCACAAAATAAAATTAAAGGGACTAATTTGATTAAATTCGAAAAACATGAAGGACTGGTTTAAAAAGATTGAAACTTTGGGACTGAATTGCTTAATCATAAAACTTGTGGGTGAAATTGAGACAAAATAAAAGATAACTTTAACTTTGACCAAGATTAAAGTTAATTGAAAATTAAAATTAATTAATCAAGATAATTAACTTAATTAAATAATTAACTTAACATTAATCAAAATTAATTAAAATTAATTAATCATATCTACTAATCATTAATTGAGATAACTAAATAAATCTAATTATCTCAAATCAAACTCAATAAATATGATTAATTTATTTTAATTAAAATTAATTAACTTCATTAATCATAAATTAAATTAGCTCTTTTAATTAATTAATAATTTTATATTATTAATTTTTTTTACACTTTTTAACCTTTTTAGTTTTTTTTTTATTGAATTGGGTCGGGTTAATCCAACCCAGAAACACGACCCGTTATTCAGAATAAGCAAATACAAATCAAACATGCATAAAGGAAACTTGCAACTAGGGTTCATGTCATTTCCAGCAGAAATATACATTCATCCAACATGCAAAAACAGATCAAACGTCAAACATTAAAGGCAATCTGGAGAGAAACGAAATGGATACTTAGGGTTGCTATTCAGCCATTTAACAAAACAAACCAAAAAAAAAAGAGATAAACATCCATGAAATTCATGCTTGATTTCATTCCCAATATCATCATTTAATACAACTTCAATACAGCAAAAATCTACTGCAATCAAAATCAAACAAGGCAAAATTTCTGAAAAAAAGCAGATTAAGATCCGAAGGGAGGGATCCCACGGGATCAAGCTCCCTTCTTCTCCCTCACGGCTCTTCCCCAAAAATTCCTCTGTTCAGAAATTACCTAAGAGAATAAAACCCAGAAGATGCTAACTCTCCGATGACTCCTCTGGAAGCTCCACAAAATTTCCCTTTTCTACTCTTCAAAAACCCAGACGAGAGTTCAAAAATCAGCTCCAGAAATCAACCAAAGAACCCCCCCTATCAATCTGATTTTTCTCTATATATATACCCAAATAAAAGATAAAATAATGATAAAAATAATAAAAAAGCCTTGCTCTGTCAATCAATATTAATGCTAATTTGTCTGGAGCTGCTGTAGCGTGCAGAGGCAGAACAGCGGGGGTGCAGCAAGGGTGCAGCAAGGCTCGGTGTAGGGTCATGATGTTGGCACAAAGAGCAGGCGTGCAAGCAACGTGGGTTCGGCGCAGCAGGCGGCAAGGGGATCTGGTGCAGAGCGAGGCTCGGGTGCAGAGCAAGCAAGGGCGTAGGTAGCAGGGGCGCAGGCGGCTGCAGGCTCGAGTGTAGCAGTAGGGGCGCAGGTAGCAGGGCTAGGGGTCTGGGCTCAATGCAGGGCAGGGGGAGCAGAGCAAAGGGGATCTGGCTTGGTGTGTAGGGGAGGTATGATTGCTGGAAGTGGGCTCAGGCGTGTAGGGGTGTATGATTGCTGGGATTTGGGCGCAGAAGGCACGGTGCAAGCGGTAAGGGCAGGGGCGCAGAGGAGGGGTGCAGGACCGGTGTAGAGGCTGGTGATTGGGCACAGAGAGTAGGCGGCTGGTTTGGGAATGAGGGTTCGAGAGGAAGGAAAGACTGATGGGGAAGGAGAAGGTTCCAGACACCATCCCTTTTCCCCCTCTTTCTTTGTTAAGTGGGTTTTGGGTAATGGGCTTGTTTTTTTGGTTTTTTTGAGTTTTGGGTTTGGTTTTGGGTTTTGTTTTGGGATTTTGGGCTTGGGTAGTTGGTAAGCTTTGGGTTTTTGATAATTTAGTGGGCTCAATTGAAATGGGTTGGTGTTGGGTTTGTAAATTCATTTTGATGAACTTCACCCCTCTAACTTTTAATTTCTTCAATTGAGTCCCTTCTTTCTTCTTCTTGAATTTTCCAATTTCTTTTGCATGTAGCACCTGAAAAAAAATAAAGATATATTAGTCAAAGAAAAGGGAAATTTTCTTATTTTATATTTTTGATTTTTTTTTTGTTTCTTTTTTTTTTTGGATAAAAATTTGAGTTATGATAGTTGCAAGCACTTTCTTAAGGTTCTTGGATTCTGAACCTTAGGAAATTTTGGATGAACCACATGTTCCCACCATTCTGGGCTTTTCTGCGTGTCCAGATATCACAGTTCCCTGATTCGCATTATTTTTCTACTGAGTTAGGTTGTGCCCCCCTACTTTCTCCTTCATATTGGGACTAATCTAATTTGAATTTTACGACCCTTGCCTCTTCAATGACCCACCTCATATCATCAACTGCAAGTTTGCACCTGAAGTATGGTTGATTTCTGTCTCTGGCAATACTCCTAAGATCTACTGCGTTCACCCCAACAAACATGCTAAGACAAAGATCTGCGTCAACTCCCGTAGTTTCTTTATCCTTATCTAGAAGACGCAAAATTCCCTTGTCGATTTTGTCTTGCAAAACATCCCAAAATATAACACAATCATTAGTAGAATGTTTCCAAGAATTATGATACTTGCAATATTTTCTACTTCCAATTTCACCAGCCATTGGGATTTTATGCCCCAGCAACAACTTAATTACCACTCTTTTTAAGGTGGTCAAAAATTTCACTAGTCTTTGAAATGCCAAAAGTATATTGCTTTCCAACCTCGTCGAAATAACGCTTTACTGTCTTGTCAGTTTGTTGGGCCACTTTAATCAAATCTGGGCAAACAATTGACTTGTCTACCACCACTTCTGCCACATCCAAATCAAAGTCAACGTCACCATAATAAGTCCCATGAGATGCAGATTTCCTTTGTGTGTCCTCTCATAATAAATTTTCATAACGAACCACTTTGTAAGACAACTCAAAAAAATCATGAAACTTCATTCCCTTAAACTTTTTTCTTAACTCAATCTCCAGACCATTTTGTGCCAGCTTGACAAACTCCTATGCTGGCAAGGCAACTCTGCACTTAAGTTTGGCCTTCTAAAATCTAGCAAAGAAGGCTTCAGATGTTTCTCAAAGTCGTTGCACCAAACGAGATAAATCTGCCATGAACACTTCTGACTCATTGTGGTAAAACTAGATATGGAAAAGATCTTCCATCTGCCTCCAAGTATAAACTAAATTCTGTGGTAGACTTAGAAACCAGGTGAGAGCTGTGCCAGTTAAAGAGTTGGAAAAAAGTTTGAGTTTCAGATTATCATCACCAGAGGCCTTACCACACTAAATCGTGAAGCGGCCTATGTGTTCAATTGTAGAATATCCACCATTTCCAGAAAATAAGGTGAATTCTAGAACCTTGAATCCATTGGAAAAGGATTCTCTTGGTCTATAAAATCTAGATATGATTTTCTATAAGCTAGTTTGACTAGAGGCCTTAAAACTAGACCATAAGCCTTCTGCACCAGATCAATGATTTAATAACAATTGATGTACTGATCTCGTAAACCTTGAGGATTTTGTTGCATGGGTGGCACATAAGGTTGGAAATGCTCCCTTAATCGAGGTGCATTATGCTATGGGTATCCTCCATTTGGTCAGCGTTGAGGCGGCCAATATCTGGGCTGTGCTAGGGATTGTCGAGTTTTGTTGCACGTGGTGCAGCCTCAATAGGTTCTGGCTGCACTGGTCTACCTGCTGCTTGTTGATCCTATGAAGGTGGCTATGGCAGATTAACTTGCCCCCCAAGTGTTAGAGTTGGAATATTCTGGTTTTGCCTTTGAAGATCTGCTACTTATGGTTGAGGTTCAATTTTGGCACGTCGAAATACCTCGTGCATTCATTCTGTTTCAGCTTGAAAGGCTCTCCAATTTTCTACATTTTGCTCTCATCAAACTCTTACACTTTCTTCATTTAAGTGTCGCATGTGAGCTACACTTTGAGCTACACTTTAGGCTAAATTCTAAGCCAGATTCTTAAGAAACTCATCCAATTGTCTTGCAATCTCTTGGCTTCTTTGTTGAGCTCTTTCCTCAAATTCCAATTGTGTTCATCGCGTCATGCTAATCTATTTTAACACAGCTTTAATAAGGGAATCAATAGATTGAGCAGCATCATCTCCAGATTCACTATCCTTGTTGAATGTTAGATTGACAAAAGAGTGCTCCTCAAGTATTGATGATAATGGTGGTGGAATGACTAGCTCATTTCTCTTTTTGAATGTGCTAGATTGCCTTCACACTACCCAATTTGTAAACTTTGGGCAGAATTCCCAATGTTTCTTTTTAGTGGCATAACTACACCTTTTCTTGGATAAAGGAACAATGGATCTAAAATATGTAAGTGAGACACAGTGACATCCCACTAGGCATGCCAAAAAAGGATTGTTTCCTAAAAAAATCCTCTAGTGGCTTCGCATGTGCGAAATTTGGATGCGAGCATATTACTTACTTTGCTGAAAATAAGAAAGAAAGATTTTCCCAACAACCCTCTCCTTCCTCACAATCGACCTCCTTGCGAATAGTGGGAAAAACGTTGGTTTAAAATTAAAATCTACGCCTACAGACAATTTGCAAGATGGAGAGATGTCTTCCTGCAGAATGAGTTACGAAATCTGCCTTGGACAACTCCAAGGACTTAAACACTACCGTGAATCAAAGTTAACAAATCCTAATTAAACTAAATAGCATGCAATTTAAAGTATATTTGTGAGAACAAGATGTACGCAAATTGAATTAAACATGTTCATTGTTAAATTAAAATGTTATCCAATGATAAATCTGGAAATTAAACTACTTCAGAATTGGAGATTTAGCCTTAACTAACACTAAAACAAACATGAACAAAAATTAAACTAACATGCTCAAAATTGAAAAAAAGCGTGAACGTCATATAAATAATCATTTGAAGAAACATTACTTATCATAAACATTAAACTAATTACATTAAACTAATTACAGTCAGAAAATGAATAATACCTTGAAGAAATTCAAAAGCTTGATGTTCAATACATGAAATGAAATTGCTAAAACAAGTACTTGAACTAGTTTGACTACTGAAATGATGAAAAACAACCTAGATGATATATTGAAAATTATGCTGAAATCCAAAATCTACAAGCAATTGGAGAAAAAACAAAAATCTGAAAATTTGCAAGTTTTTAGTAGGGCTGGCCATGTGTTCTGTGATCTAAAATTTCCCTTTTGTTCTCTTTTTTCCAGTTATAACTTCCCACTTTCTACCGTTTCAAAAATCATGGGCAATTTCTTGACGTAGTGGTCCACCTTAGCAATTGACAAAATCAAACTTCCTTCCAAATTTCGCCACTTGTTCCCTTATCTGATAACCCACACCCATAACTGAAACATCCCCTTAAATTTCAGTTAAAACAAATCCAATTTAACTCAAAAAGGTAATTAAAAGATTAAATCTTATCTTTTTACCTCTTTCCTTCCAATGTAGTAGTTAATCTGTCATGAGACCAAGAATTACATATCCGACATGGCAAAATCTCCTCCATCCATTTAAAATTTTTTACACATGGCATGATTTTAAATTTTTACGATTTATGGTGTAAACAAATGACTTGGCAAATCATTACTGTTTATTTTCATCTAAATCAATTGTTACTCTTTCCTTCCTAATTTCTCTACAATTTTGATTATGATTGTTAATTTTAAATGTTGTTAGCAACAATGGTTTTCTAACATCTAACACCGCATATAAACTCAATTTGTATTTATAGTAGCACTAAATCTCAAAAGTTAGTTGTTAAATATATCTAATCTAATACTTTAATAAAACTAAAGTTCGAGTCATGATACTAAAATATTAAAATTTCTCACTCCTCTGCTCTAAATTATACCTGTTCAAAAAACAAAAAATTATATTTCCAGTAAAGTTGCCCTCATCCCAAATAGGTAATAGGTCTTAAACGTTCGTTTCTACCGCACTAAGCTCGGTCGGCAGGGGTATTAAATTATTAGCCGAGGGTGGTCTAGGAGGAGTCAATTCCGCAGCTGGAACCATCCAGAACAAGTATGATGTTTCCATGTGCCAAACAAATATGTTTATTCTTTTACGCAAAATATATGTCACTTTATTAAGCTTTAAACTGACTGCATTTATTTGTGATGAAATTTAATAAATTAATTGTGCGCAGCCCATATTGCCAGCCATCCTATTCCTGATATCAGACTTGATCAGTTAATATTGTGTTGTAGTAGTACTACCATCCAAAGAGATTAATGAGTTCATTAACATTTGAAATGTAACCTTGTTTTATCATTATATTATATTATATTGTAAAATTAAAATAATTTAATAAAAAAATTTAATATTAAAAAAATTAATTTTTATTTAATAATTAATATAATATAATCTTATATATTCAAAGCTGCACTATAATTTTCCATATTTGAAATGTCCAAGATAATTAAGGGTATGTACGTACTACTGTTACTACAACAATTTTCTGATTAATTCTGCTGTGAGGTAGAGTTCTCGGGTAGATGGGCATGTGATTATTATTATTTTTTTTAATAATTTATAATTATTTATAGAATTAATTGGAGAAAAAAAAAAATTCTGTGAGACTTCGAATGTGTAACCTATTAAGGATAAACAATTTTTACCAGAGTCCAATAATACTGTACCGAAGCGAGCCGTTCGGCGTGTGATCATTTTTAGAAGCCGTTACTCGCCAGAGTCTCCAGATCAGAGAGCACGTGTACACTGTACACATGAATATAAACAAAAAGAAGCGGTTCCTCGCCAGAGTCCCCAGATCAGAGAGCACGCGTACACTGTACACATGAATATAAACAAAAAAAAAAATTATTGGTACATTTTTTGATTTAACGTATTTAATAATATTTATCGATTTAGTTATTAAAATTTATTTTTAAAAATTATATTATTTTAAATTTAAATTTAAAAATATTAATTTTTTAATAAATAAATTGATGAATATTACTAAATGTATTAAAATAAAAAATATATCGGTTATTATCCTAGACAAAAACAAAAACGAATAT